AGAAAATTTTCTTTTTATAAAGGCTGATAGCACAAACAAAGCTCTACTTTTCTACACTATTTGATCATTATTCATCCAATATTGTAATTAATAAAATTTTCATTCGACTTGTTCAGCTACGATATATAGCGATAATAGTAAGGGAATATAGCGGAGGAATATTTTTAGAATAACTTTTGATAGAAATAAGATACAGAAATGCAGTTTTAATCGTTGAAAAGAGGGGACGAAGATGCATCAAATCATTTATTACGGAACTTTCTAATCAATTTGTAAAAGCTGTTCGACCCATCTTTTCGAAAATAAACATGACCCCTTGGATTATTCACAATGAATTTTCACTTATCAGGTTTGCACTCAAATAATGAATTCAAGATCCACAAAAGTGCGAAAATATTACCAGTTTATATTTCATGATTAAGCAGTTCTCAGTATTCTAGTCGATACTCTAAGTCGATTTTCTAGCGAATACTGTGAAAAAATCCTTTTTTTTCTGCTTTTTCTTTTTTTAATAAAAAAAACATTTTCCCGACATTTTGGAAAACAATTGAAGAAAATTCAGTAATCACATTAGAAAAGGCTAATATAGTTGATTCGATACATCTTCATCCTCTCTTTCCAACGATTAAAACTGCAGTTCCCTATCTTATTTTCATCAAAAGTTATTCTAAAAATATTTCTCCGCTATTTTCCCCTTACTGTTATCGTTACATATTGTAGCTGAACAAGTCTAACGAAAATTTTATTATTACAGTATTGGATGAATAATGATCAAATAATGTAGAAATGTAGAGCTTTATTTGTACTATCAGTCGATATAAAAAGAAAATTTTCTCAAGCCGTCTATACGAAATTGCGATGAAGCCGCCACTACTTTTGGTATGCCCTAACTAGAATAAGGTCTTAGATAGTCATCACATCTGCAGCTTGAATCCTATCATAATCATGACTATCTTAGTCGAATCACTAGAGTTATGTATAGTTGATTGAATGAAATGAAAAACCTTTCCGAGTCTTCGATCGATAATGATTCAATTGACAAAATACCTTATGGAAATAATTAAATACTTTCAAAAAAAAATTTAAATTTATTGGTAGACACGTCTAAATCATACTCAACAATAGAATGTATCGTTTAATGAATAAAGTATATTTTCACTGACTAAAAAGATTTCGAAACCAAAGCTATCAACAAATAAGACATATCAATAAAGAAAACGTTCCCAATGGAACGTTTACAAATGTTTAAACTAATGAGTTGAAAGCAAAACCATGTATTAACAAATAGAATTCAGTACATTGAGTCAACTTGACACAAAAAAAGAACTTTTGTGAAAGCATACATCATTGTGTACTGGCTCACACTGTGTTCTATGTTCATGTTTCTAATACCTATCTATATTTTGCTTTTGGATAAGATCGAAACTTTTTGAAGCGTTGTCTTTGTTTGACATAGCCTGATTATTTTGGAATTCATTAAGAGACTATCCATACTCAAGAAATGAGCACTTTTTCGAAAGAAAACGAATATGTAACTATTTAATATTCTAAATTATGATTACTAATGTAATTAATTCTGTTATTTTAGATATTTTCTAATTTTTCAAGACTTTGCAACTTTTCAGCATAGGAAAGGCATTATCGATAACTTGAAAGGTAATTTATAGAAAAGTATTCTAGTGAACAACGAATACTTACTGAAAACTATCTTTTACTAAATACTGTTTTTTTTACTATAGATGAATAAAAATTCTACGAGTGATGATGCTATCTCAGTTGAGAATTCACCTGCTGCACAACATCCTCATGTTGACAATGAGCAACGTGAAAACTCAGCGCAAAATGAATTTAATTCAGCAACATGTGCCACTGCTACTAATACAACAAAGAAGTCATCAATGACTCCGACACCTTTGTATATAATTTTCTTTTGTGTTCAATCATAATAATGTATAGAATGTCTTTATTAGAGAATTTTCGCCTTGGTCGCGACATCGATCTTCAATTGCTGCAGGTGCATTTGCTGTATTCACAATTATAGCAATGAGTATTGGTATATTGACTGTTTGTTTCACTTCACCAAAAGCTACTGGTATGTTCTTTTTTATTAATATGTTAGCCACTTTCTATAGATAAAATAAGATTACATGGGGAATCTATAATCAAAAACTCAAAATAACACGTACGAGCGTTTCTGATGGAATACGTCGATCGAAGTCATAGTTTTGTAATTGTAAGAAATAAAAAGTTGAACTAAATAATTGCGCATGTATCACACAAAAATTATCGATCACTATTCGTTGTTCTTATCATCGAACCATTAACGCCTGCATTTACAACGAAGGCCGTCATTTAGTGCGTCATCTATCTCTTCCTCTTCGCTCGTATATTGTGCTGTTCATGTATGATTACTCAGCAAGTAGATTCACATCCCTTTCTCTATCCTCATAGTTTTGTCTATTTTTAAATTCTATTTCTTAATATAATCATTAATTCAAAATACTAATAGAACCTCTGAAAGTATTACCTAACACAATAATTTTGATAACCGTTTGAGCGTGTAAAAATATGAAACTTTCATCTTTTATACCAAACTTTTAGCAAAGTAAATGCTAGAAAAAGAGATTATAAAATGTGGAAGCGATTACATTTAATCATGCAGTTTGGCGCACTCTTACACTCTTCAGTCATATTGTATTCGTTGATGTTCGTCTTCGTTCTCAAAGATGACGCACTTTTTGAACAAATTCTAGAGTAAATCGAAGAAAGGAAATAGAAAATTAACTTGCATGATATAGTCGCATATATCTAGCTCTATCTGAGTTTCAAGAAACTAAGTAGAATTCTAATGAAAGATGATTGATTTTGAGTTGCGTACAAATACAGTAATACGACAATTTCTGACAGCATACTATAAAACTTGTAAGGATCAAATACGATCAAACAGTGATAGTCGCACTTGAGCAACCAATCAGTCATCACACTGCTTTTCATCTGTTGTTTAGTTCAAAAATGTGAGCTCAAATTCAAACCAACCGCTCAAAAACCAGTTGAATACAAGTATGGCCCACGATCTGTTGCTGCTGGTGATTTCGACAATGACACATGTTTGGATATGGTTATTGCTCATCATATAGCTAACACGATAACTGTTTATCTTGGATATGGTAATGGCACTTTTAAAAGTCCAATTCCATATTCAACTGGTTCCTACTCAAGTCCTTACATGGTCACAGTTGGTTATTTCAACAATGATTCTTACTTGGATATTGCAGTAGCAAATTTTGGCACTAATAATATCGTTATCTTTCATGGATTTGGCGATGGGTCTTTCGCAAATCAAACAGAACTTTCAACAGGCTCCTCTCGTCCAATAGCGATTATCGGTGCTCATTTCAACAATGACACACTACTTGATATTGCCATAGCCAATTACGGAAACCACAGTATCAGTATACTCTATCAATATGGAAGTGGAAGTTTTTCGCTTCCAATTACATATCCGACAGGTTACGATTCTTTTCCGTCCTCAATAGCTGCTGGAGATTTCAATAATGACAACTATTTAGATCTCGCCATTGCCAATTATGGCACTAACAATATTGTGATACTTTTTGGTAATAGTAACAGTACTTTTGCAAAGCAAATTACCATCTCAACTGGCATTGATTCTCAACCATACTCCATTGCCGTTGGTGATTTCAATGCAGACAACTTTCTCGATATCGCTATCGCTAATTCTGGAAGTCATGAAGTAGGTGTGCTCCTAAATAATGGTAATGAAACTTTCGCTAATCAAGTCAACTATTCCATCAATTCTGCTTCTCCAATTGCCATTTCGGTAGGAGACTTCAATCAAGATAATCGACTGGACATAATCACCACGAATAAAGGCGCTGACAATATAGCCATACTTCTTGGATATGGGAACGGCAAATTTGCAAATTCAATTATGTATCCAACCGGATCTTCTTCTTCGATTTCAGTTGCCGTAGGTAATTTCAACAAGGACTACCGATTAGATATTGTCGTTGTAAACAATGATACTGGTGCCATTGATATTCTTGTTGGACGTTACGAAGGCTTTCAAAATCAAATAAGATATTCAGCTGGCTCTAAACCATCATCTGTAGCTATTGGTGATGTTAACACCGACACTCGACTAGATATCGTTGTCGCCAATCGGGGTAGCAATGATGTGAGTGTCCTTCTTGGATATGGAAACGGTTCTTTTGAAAATCAAACAAGGTATTCAGTTGGCTCTTCTCCATCATCTGTAGCTATTGTTGATGTCAACAATGACACTCGACTAGATATCGTTGTCGCCAATTACTATAGCGATGATGTGAGTATCCTTCTTGGATATGGAAACGGTTCTTTTGAAAATCAAACAAAGTATTCAGTTGGCTCTTCTCCATCATCTGTATCGATTAGTGATGTCAACAACGACACTCGACTAGATATCGTTGTCGCCAATTGGAAGAGCAATGATGTGAGTATCCTTCTTGGATATGGAAACGATTCTTTTGAAAATCAAACAAAGTATTCAGTTGGCTCTTATCCATTCTCTGTAGCTATTGGTGATGTCAACAATGACACTCGACTAGATATCGTTGTCGCCAATTCGTGGAGCGATGATGTGAGTATCCTTCTTGGATATGGAAATGGTTTTTTTGAAAATCAAACAAGATATTCAGTTGGCGTTTATCCATATTCTGTAGCTGTTGGTGATGTTAACAATGACACTCGACTAGATATCGTTGTCGCCAATTTGTTGAGCAATGATGTGAGTATCCTTCTTGGATATGGAACCGGTTCTTTTGAAAATCAAACAAAGTATTCAGTTGGCTCTTCTCCATCATCTGTATCTATTGTTGATGTCAACAACGACACTCGACTAGATATCGTTGTTGCCAATGCAGATAGCAATGATGTGAGCATCCTTCTTGGATATGGAAACGGTTCTTTTGAAAATCAAACAAAGTATTCAGTTGGCTCTTATTCATCATCTGTAGCTATTGGTGATGTCAACAACGACACTCGACTAGATATCGTTGTCGCCAATTATTATAGCGATGATGTGAGTGTCCTGCTGCAATATAACAGAGGAGCGATTACATATGAAATGAGCTTGGCACCTGGTGGTGGTTCTAGCCTAAGATGTGTAGTCATTGGTGATTTGAACAATGACACTAATCTGGATATTGTCTTAGCTAATTATGGCACTAATAATTTAGGTGTTCTTTTTGGATACGGGAACGGTAGTTTTGAAAATCAAATGATGCTCAGCACTGACATGAATTCTCATCCGATTTCTGTCGCAGTTGGGGACTTCAATGGTGACCGTAAAGTGGATATTGCTGTGGCCAATCATGGTACAAAGCATGTAGATATGATGCTTGGAAATGGGCAGGGAAAATTTGCAATTCAAACAAGTTATGAAATTAGCTTTGATACACCTTCGTTAGTTATGGCTTCTGGTGATTTTAATAATGACGCACAATCGGAGATTAGACTGTACATATATGATGTCATCGAGTTAAAGCTCAATATTGCTACTCTTTATTCCTTAGATTGATTCGTCATTATTCTGAACTCTTCTCATATAGTTCTGTATTTTTCGAGCAATACCATCAATTTATGCATAATGTGTGAGGCATTTAATAATAATTGGTATGCCAGAGTTTTATATCGTTCTGACTATGCCCACAGACTCATTACGATCTAAGGGAAGCCGGTTTTCAAATTGCTCCATCAACTCAATTCAATAGATTGAAGTTTTTTTTATATTGACCATATAGTGAATCAAGTGTATCATGAACGACAATACTAATGGTTGCATGTATCTGAGTCATTACTGGTTACATTTTTTGAAATGATGTTGATGAAGTTCCAAAAGTATGAAACACTGATTATTGTTGAATTTATACGAAAGATTCGCATTAGCATTATTTCCTGAGAGCAATTCCAGTAGCTGAGCTATTTGAGAGCTGTATGCATGATTGTTCTATAAATTGAAGAACAATTTGAACAAGATTCTTTTTCACTTTTGTTGATAGATTAGTTGCAAGATACCATATGTCATAAAAAACACACTTAAGAAACTTTTTACGTACTTAGACTATTTTTACTGTTAATAACCTTTTTATTTTTTTAGTCTTCAAATTGCAGATTTACAAATGACCAACCTTATAAACTGTCATAGTTAATTTTATCCCTCTCGGACTAAAGCACATTCCATCACGTAAACGACATCGATCAAGAGAAAAGACAATTTTGTAATTTATGAGTATCGATGACCATTGAACAACATGCTCAGAATTATGTTTGTATAACTACTAACATATATTGTCAAGATAAAAGAAAAAAGCACTGAGATCCACATACCGTATATACGTGCCAATAATTTCCAAATAGCAGAATGCATGTACATGCCATTAGCAGTTCACTCATGCTCATTTCATCATTAAGCAATACCAGCATTTCATCACCTCATGCTTCTAATTTTCGAAAACATATTATGCGAACTGTTTCTATCGCTGTCGCTTACGATGGACGTGATCATGTAGATATTTTTGTTGCGTATAATCATGGTTCTTTTGAAACTCGAACAAGGTATTCAGTTGGCTCTTATCCAACATCTGTAGCTATTGGTGATGTCAACAACGACACTCGACTAGATATCGTTGTCGCCAATTCGGGTAGCAATGATGTGAGTGTCTTTCTTGGATATGGAAACGGTTCTTTTGAAAATCAAACAAGGTATTCAGTTGGCTCTTCTCCATATTCTGTAGCTATTGTTGATGTCAACAGCGACACTCGACTAGATATCGTTGTTGCCAATTGGGGGAGCAATGATGTGAGTATCCTTCTTAGTTATGGAAACGGTTCTTTTGAAAATCAAACAAGGTATTCAGTTGGCTCTTATCCACAATCTGTATCTATTGTTGATGTCAACAATGACACTCGACTAGATATCGTTGTCGCCAATTGGGAGAGCAATGATGTGAGTATCCTTCTTGGATATGGAAACGGTTCTTTTGAAAATCAAACAAAGTATTCAGTTGGCTCTTATCCATTCTCTGTAGCTATTGATGATGTCAACAATGACACTCGACTAGATATTGTTGTCGCCAATTCGCGGAGCAATGATGTGAGTATCCTTCTTGGATATGGGAATGGTTCTTTTGCAAATCAAACAAGATATTCAGTTGGCTCTTATCCACAATCTGTATCTATTGGTGATGTCAACAACGACACTCGACTAGATATCGTTGTTGCCAATTCGGATAGCAATGATGTGAGTATCCTTCTTGGATATGGAAACGGTTCTTTTGAAAATCAAACAA